CCCCCCCCCCCCCCCCCCCCGGGGGGGGGGGGGATGGCGGGGGGGGGGGTGCTGATGACGTCAGCAGCTTGGACTTTATTTGGCTTTTCTGGCATGTTTTGGTGCCGTTAATAATCTGGCGCTTCCTGTGGCACCGGGAGGGGGAGGACACTTGGGTCTTCCCCAGCTGGGGGCTATGAGCCACCCCCCGCATGCCTCAGTGTCCCCTTATGCCTCGAGGCCCCCATCATAGCTGGGGGTGGTTCTCAGGTGCCATGGGGTTGGGGGAAGCAGGTCTCCTGGGTTCTTTCCCAGCCCTGTAAGGGGTTCTAAGCAAACCTGCTGGGTGCCTGGGTGGTCTTCCTGGGTGCCTGCTGGGAGGGGCTGGGGGAGCACATACCTAGGTTCTCTCCCTACTCTGGGAGGGGAGTGGATCTTGTGGGGAATGTGGGTGCCTGGATGTCTGGGTTCTGTCCCCAGCTCTAGGAGGGGAGTGGGGTCAATTGGTTAGAGTAGTGGAGGGTGTGAGGGGAGCACTGGGCACCCAGACACCTGGGTTCTCTCTCTAGCTCTGTCCCTGCTTTGGGCTCAGTCCCTTCTCCAGCTCCGTGCCCATTTCCCCTCCTGTTGGCCATTCTTGGTGGGATGGGATGACCCCTCAGGTCTGCCTCCCCCCAGGCTCAGGAGGCATAGGAGCTACCACATCGGGAAGCCAGGTCAGGGGCTTGGATGCCATGGGGGGGCATGGAGACCCCCAGCTACCCCCCACCCCCCAATCTGGACAGACAGATCCCAGTGGTAGCAAGATCCCCCCCCATTCCCCCCTCCCCCTTCTGTTAATGGTTAGCCCCAAAATAACCAGGCAGCTGGAGGGAGAAAATAGACCCTGGGTGGAATGTGGGGAGGGAAGGGGGTTGGGGAGCAGGGCAGGTGCTGATTGCCCTTGGGCAGGCAGGGGTTAACAAGGGTGCTCACTTTCTCTGCCTTGGGCCAGGTCAGGTCCTTGGTCCTCGCCCTTCCCCCCCCCAACCCAGGAGTCCCCAGGAGTCCAGGTTCCCAGGGTCCCCTTTGCTCTAACTGTTTGACCCTGCTTCCCATCTAGAGCTGGGGATAGAACCCAGGTGTTTGGGCACCCAGCAACTCCCCTCACCCCCCACTTTGCTCTAACCCCTGTGCCCCACCCCCTCCCAGTGTCAGGGAGCAGGCATCGGGGCTGTGGACTCCACAGTTCTAACCCACCTGACCCTAGTGCTGAGGGAGGAACCTAGGTGTCCCACCTCCTGACTCCCTCCCTCTTTTAACCTACTGCTCCTGACCCTCACTGCTTTCCCTGAGCAGGGAGAGAACCCAGGTGTCTGGGCTGCCAGGCTCCCCCTACTCTGATCACAGGAATGTTTCTTGCCCCTGCCAACAGGTGACACCAGCACAGCTCCAGCCCCTCCCAGCTCCCAGTATCCTCGCACAAGTGTGCATTAGTGTGAGGATCACTCTCCCCCATGCACTGGTGCCCCCTGGGCATGACCCTGGGCACTTGCATGGCCATGCACTAGTGCCAGGCTCCCCCACACACACCTCCCTGGGCCTTGGCATGGTCATACCCTCTTCTGTGCCCTTGCACACTTGTGCACAAGTGTTGGGCCCCTCACATACCTGTGCACAAGTACTGGCCCCCTTGCATACCTGTGCATTCACTTGTGCTTGGAGCCCTGCCCATCCTGCCATAAGCTGGGGGCTGCTACTGAGGTGGGGTGCAGGGGTAGGGGGCTGTCACCAGGGCCTTAGTCATGACATGCGTGGGAGGGCTGTGCGATAAGGATTCTTGTGAAAAAGGAACAGCTGTGGTCTGGCAACCGCCCGGATGTTTTCACAACACACCACAGCTGGTAAACCCCTGCTCTGCTGTGGCCCCCAGTAGCTCTGTGTGTGTGTGTGGGGGGGGGAGGGGGGGATGTTGCTCTCTCCCATGTTCCTACTCAGAAGGAGGGAGGGGCAGATAGGGCTGTCCTTGCCTTTCCTGTTGCACTTCTATTAGAAATGTTATGGTAGCCCCTAGCATGTTCCTTTGTGGGAGCTGCACAGACCCCTGTGATCAAGGCCCTGTTCTGGCTGGTAGGCCCCCTCCTCCCCCATGTGATACATGTGACATGGAGAAACTGAGGCAGAGGGAAGCACCCCCTCCCCTTGTGCCCCTACCTTTCTTCCTGCATTTCTCTTAGGAGCATTACAGTGACCCTAGGCGTGCTCCTGGGGGGAAGGGGAGGCTGCACAGATCCCCTGCTTCCTGCCCCAGCCTTTCTCACTGTGCTTCTATAGGAGCATTATGGCAACCCCATGTTTGGGGGGGGGGGGGGGCCCCCCCTTTTTTGGGGGGGGGGGGGGCACTGCACAGACTTCCTCAAGACCCAGGCCCTGCCCCAGCTGTGAGGCCCCCTGCCCAGGTGTAAGGGAAACTAAGGCAGGAGGGAGCCCCCCCCCGACCAATCCAGCTCCCTAGAGCCCCCTGACTCCCCCACACCATCCCCAGTGCTGATGGGGGGAGCCCGGACACCTAGGTCCCCTCCTGACTCTGGGTGGGAGGGCAGGAGGGTGCAGTGGTCAGAATAGGGGTTGGGGCCCCTTTCCCTTACCCCCCACCCCACCCCCAGACTTTCCCAGGGTAATGGTTGGGGACTGGAATCAGGATGCCTAGGTTCTTTCTCTTGCCATGGGGACCCTGTCCCTGCAGCTCTGATGCCTCCCCCCCCCACCATGGGCTGGGGGAGCAGCTGGCCTGGGGAGGGGGCACTTATATGAGGTTGGGGCTGGGGCAGGAGGAGGCCAGGGCTGTGCTGGGGGTGATGTTGATACAGCCCCAGCTTGTTGGGGGCAGGGTTAGGCCCACTTCTGTGGGAGGGTCAGAGACTTCAGGACCCGCCATGAACCTGGGACTGCCTGGGGGTGGTTCTTGGGGCTGGGGGGACAGGGTGGTCGTTATACCCGAACACTGGCCTGTGGCTGGGTGGGGGCTGGGAGGTTTAGTGTTTAAAGCAGCTGCTGTGGAGGGTAGATCTGCACTGCCCCAATGCCTCCCAGAGCTAGGAGGGAACCCAGGTGTCTGGGTTCCCAGCCCTGCCCTACCCTAACCATTGCCCCCCTCCCCACCATCACCTGGGGAGGGAACAGGCATCTGGGCACCTGGCTGTACTCAGCTGGGGCTGCCAGAGGGCCCTCCCCCTCCCCCCCAGTCAGGGCGGGGAGTGGGATCTAGTGGTTACAGCAGGATGTAGCAGGACACCTGGGTTCCGTCCCCAGCTCCTGGAGGGGAGTGGGAGCTGGGATAGCAGTTAGGGTCTGGGAGCTTGGACGCCTGAGTTCCATCCCCAGCCCTGACAGGTTGGAGCTGGGGGTGATTGGGGAGCTGGGAGCCTGGATGCCTGAGTCCCGGGACCGGGAAGGGAGTGCGGGGCTGGTGGGTTGAGGGGGTGCCAGGAACACAGGCACCTGGGTTCTATTCCCAGCTCTGTGAAGGGAGTGGGGGCTGGTGGGTTGGGGGAGTGAGGCTGGGAGCCCAGGCGCCTGGGTTCCCACATGAGCTTCAGCAGGGAAGCCAGCACCAGGGGGCAGGGCAGGGTGCGGCCAGGCGCCTGGGTTCTCTGGCGCCAGTTCCTGGCACTGTGGACAGGGAAGCAGAAGTGGGAAATGCAGGGGAACTGGTTCCAGCCCTAGAGGGGCACTAAACCCAGATGCCTGGGTTTCCTCCCCAACATGGGGAAGGGAGTGTGGAGTCCTTGTGAGCCGACGCCTGGGTCCTAGCCTCAGCTGGGAGGGGTGGGGGGTCTAGGGGTTCAGTCCCAATGTCTGGGTTCAATCTGTGGGTCAGGCAGGGGATTGGGGTGGGGGTTACAAGAGGTTACAGCAGGGCAGGCCTGGGCATTGGGACACCTGGTTTCTACCCCATTCTGGGAGGGGATGGAAGAGGGGGTGGTCCAGTGGTCAGGGGTGGGAATTGGGATACCCGAGTTCTCTCCCAGCTTTGGCAGGAGACTGATGTGTGCCCAGTTCTAATCCTAGGTCAGGGAGGAGAGCAGAGCAGTGGTTAGAGCTGGTGGAGGGTGGGGGCTGTTGGGAGCCCGGACGCCTGGCTTCTAATCCTAGATCATGGAGACAAGTATTGAGGGTTGTAGGAAGTGGGGGCGGGGGTGGGTTCTCTCTCCCCACTGCTGGTTTTCTAGAAAACTGGAAGCCACAGCAACTTCCCTCTGGGTTAGGTCGGTCAGATCAGGGGGGTGATAAGGTCAGGGAGGGGGCATGGAAACCAACCCCCCCACCTCTGTCCCACACTGGCTTCCGCCCCGCCCTCCTCCAGCCCTGAATCAACAGCTTTCTTCTTCCAACCACAGGCCCTGTTGCCAGGGAAACAGGCTCCAAATACTGTGTGCGAGCAAGGCGCCTGTGCAGGGAGACATCAGCACCTCCCACCCCCCCCAGCTTCTTCACG